CTTTCCTGCCCCAGAACAGTTAGCTAAAAGTTTTAAAAATGTTTTAAACAAAACACCAACATCCTTTTATTATTTACATGTAAATAATCTATAATATCAATTCTGAAAATATTTTAAATAATTATTAAAGTATAATGAATATGAAATATATAATGACTGCAAATACATATAATAAACATAAGTGGTTAAAAATATTTATGCAGTACTTGTTTTGTCATGTAGTGTCCGATAGCAATACTAAAATCGCTCCACATTGTTTTCTAACTTTTGTGGTCACTATATATATATACACACCACACACACACACACTTAAAGGAACACTCCACTATTTTTGAAAATAGGCTCATTTTCCAACTCCCCTAGAGTTGAACAGTTTCTACAAAAATATAGAAACTCTTTGGTCATTTTTGAGCGAGATGCTAACGGTCTAATCAGATTCAATGATCTATGCTAAGCTACAGCTAAAAGTACTAACGCCAGACCCGGAGATCGGCTGAATGGATTCGAAAACGGTAAAACTCAACTGTTTAACTCGTTCTATGTTTCTGTCTACTGACTCCGTTACGCTTCAGTGTCTCTTTCTAACGGCGGATGAGAGCAGTTATCATGCTATTTAATTCATTTAACTGTGTATTTGACCAAGTGTGCTATTGATCACACGTCTTTGCAGGAATGGAGACGTTTATGTGTGCGTATACCGCGAGAAGATTTCGCTTTGCCTGACTGTAGGACTGAAAGGTAATCGTTCTGTGTTTGCTGACTGTGAATGTTGTGTGTAGGGCTTATCACTTTATCAAAGGATTGATCTATTCCTTTATGCAAAGGAGACGGCTGAACTAGAGGGATACTTTTGTTGGCCTTGTGTTTATTTTCTGTTATTTCTGGATTTATTTGAAAGATGAAACCTAAAAGAGCATGTTTAGGTCGCATTTCACTCTAAAATCAAGAGGAAAAAACGAGAAGTTTTTTAGAAATTAGCATTTTTACATTATTTCCATGATATTTAAGCATATTTTACCACCAATTCCCATTACTATATTGTGTCCAGATGTTTTACCTTTATTTTTACTGTAATTCTTGACATTCTCAATGGTGATTCTCATTAATCATTCTCTGAAAATGTTAAATACAGTAATTTTGAAAATTTCAAAATGGGCAAAAATTAAGCATAAATTAAAGGCAGCACACATGCTGTGTAAAGACTGTGTGTATATATATATATATATATATATAAGTAATGGGAATTATCGGGCTTTATTTTATTTTATTTAATGAAAAATAGTGTCACAATGTAAACAATCTTAATGGTCCTAAAAGTAGGATTTATTTTCTTTATGCAAAATATAATTTCGTATTTTTTTTCGTTTGATTTTTGGGGTGAAATATGATCTGGACGTGTTCTTGAGAGGATTCATCCAAATATAATAGACGCTTTCCTTTCTGCGGAGAACATTATCCTGATTTTGCCAACATGTTAAATGCTACATCATGATATCTAATGTAAACCTGACATACTTAAGTCAACAAAAAAAATATATATATATTTTTTAATATTACTCACTACAGCTCTTTATTTGAAAACACCAGTTTTATTATACAGCGGGAATCATTTTAGAAGAGCTTGGTTTTACTGTTTTCTATACTTACTGTTTCAAACTCCAGAATCATTATTTTTTATGACAGACATAACTACCGCCAGAGTTACCATAGTAAATATCCACATTCAGAATAATGTGGCCAAACTGCCTCCTCTCTTGTATATATCGGCGTGTGTTTGTTTTGAGAGAGCTGGCTTCTTATTTGTGCAAATAGAGATCTGTTCTTATTTTTGTCTAATGCCCATTTTGTACCAACAGAAAATTCACGTATCATTACGTCTCTGGCACGTCTGTTGATATGCATATGTGTGTGTGGTGCGAGTGTGTGTGTGTGTGTACATGTTTGATTGACCATACTTATAATTATAATTTCATTGATGTTTTTATGTATATGTTGGGTCTCCCTTTTTTTTTCAACCTCTTGGGATATTTTAAAACTAACATGACCGATGCCGTTTGACAGCATATTAAAACAACGACAACAGTCCATCCTTTTTGCTGAAATGTTATTATTATTCCCTTTTCTTTTTTATGGAATAGTGAATAAGATGAAACCATTCCCTTTTATAGCTGCTGTAAGGACAGTAAACTGTTTCTCAATGCACTAGCCTTCTATCTAGTAATGAAATCACTTCATTTTGATGACGAGTTTAAAACTGTGTTAAGGAAAATTAGTGTGACAGTTTAAATAAAAAGCAATATCATACCGATTCGGGTTTGGGTTTTATTTCTCTGGATGCAGTGGTCAACACGTTTTAGAAAATAAGCTTTTACTGGTCTGTTTGGTAGCAGCCCATCATCGCACAATGTACATACAGTCAACTGTCCTGTTTTCAACTACAAGCATTACGAACTGATAGATTTTGTTTAGTTGCGGTTTGTCTGTGTAGATACCCGAATTATACTTTTCTGCCCCAGAACAGTTAGCTAAAAGTTTTAAAAATGTTTTAAAACACCAGCGTCCTTTTGTTATTTACATGGAAATAATCTATATTATAAATTCTGTAAATGTTTAAATATTTTAAAAGAAATATTAAAGTGTTATGAATACTAAATATATAATAACTATATACAATAAATATAAGTGGTCAAAAATATTTATACAGTACAGTATTTATACAACAGCGAACTGTTGCTAAAGTAACGTAACTTTATTTCACGAACTTTTCACACTGATATCTAACTTTTGTGGTCACTGAAATTATTAAAATTGCCGCTAAAATGTGTGTGTGTGTGTGTATATATATATATATATATACATACATACACACACAAACTTCAATGTAAATGAATACTTATTTTTTGACCATAATATTTTGTTATGTAGGGTTCGATCATGATACTGAGATTGCTTCAGAAGCGAACTTTTGCTATAGTAACGAACTTTTAGCACTTTTTGTAATATAACTTTAGTTGGTACTGAAATGATTGAAAATGCTGCTTAAATACACACACACACACACACACTTAAATAATAATAAAAAAAGAATACTTTTTTTAGACAGCAATATTTCACCATACTGAACTGAATTCGCGAACTGTTGCTATAGTAACGTAACTTCCTTTCAAGCAACTTTACGCACTTTGTAATACAACTTTTGTGGTAACTATATATGTGTATGTGCACTTAATTATAAAATGAATACATATTTTTGACCACCATAATTCGCACCTTGTCATTCAAATTAAATGACAAGTTTAATTTTTGGGTGAACTGTTCCTTTAAGAGACTTGAGTTTATAACGGAGCACAGGAATGTCGAGAATCCATCTCCAGCGTCTCACACAATCATATGACTGAAATATTGTTCGCTGGACTCCTGAGCGCTTCATTCACTTATTAAAGCAGAACCCATCGAAACTATCGCCTCGTGACGACGTATCCTCAATACATGCGCCAGATGCAGATAAACCACATCTATTGTGAAATACCCCGTGTTGTCGGATAGAATCTGAAATAAATCTACCGTGCAAATCAGAAACTCTGTTTCTATCCTCATCTGGATTTACTCTGGTTTCCTCGCGGGGGAGGAGCAGCATCTTTCGCCACAGAACCACGTAACTCTGTCAAACTTGCAGATTTTTATGAAAACTTGAGCCAGCGAGATTCAAGCCCCTTCCTTTTTTTCTTCCTGGAGGATATCTGGGTCGGCGCAGAGAGATGCAGACGGGATTTAGATTAAATTGGACCCCTGTTAAAGAGCCTCTGGGTTTTGTTAAACTCGTGGAGTGGGTAAGTAAGAAAATCCAAATCTTGAACTCGTTTTCAAGCTTTAACTTCATAAGGAGGGCAAAGGCCTGGCAGATAAACCACATCTATTGTGAAATACCCCGTGTTGTCGGATAGATCTGAAATAAACCTACCGTGCAAATCAGAAACTCTGTTTCTATTCTCATCTGGATTTACTCTGGTTTCCTCGCGGGGGAGGAGCAGCATCTTTCGCCACAGAACCACGTAACTCTTGTCAAACTTGCAGATTTTTATGAAAATTTGAGCCAGCGAGATTCAAGCCCCTTCCTTTTTTTCTTCCTGGAGGATATCTGGGTCGGCGCAGAGAGATGCAGACGGGATTTAGATTAAATTGGACCCCTGTTAAAGAGCCTCTGGGTTTTGTTAAACTCGTGGAGTGGGTAAGTAAGAAAATCCAAATCTTGAACTCGTTTTCAAGCTTTAACTTCATAAGGAGGGCAAAGGCCTGGCTAAAAACGCACTTACAACAATGCATTATTCCATGCAAAGTATAGTTAAAAGTCTATCTAGATTAAACATGTTTAGTCCCAACCACTAATACTTGCAAAGCACAGAGTATCTGAGTAATTCTCATTTATTATATATAGTTATTTAATAAAATGTTTAGTTTTCACTTTTTTTCTTTCAAACCTGGAAAGTTTCATCATGTTTTGTTCATGCATGCTTGAGTGCATACTAAGAAATTATGAAATATACATATATATATTATATATATATGCAAAAGAAGCATTTTCACTTGTCCTCTCTCAGACTTTTGGACTTCTGCATATATTTTTTTGCACATTCCCTTCACCAGCAACTCAGCATGTCTTAAGTTTTCTTTAGCCACCTACTTACATGAAGTTCCTCCCTTCTTTATTTCCTCAAAGGAATTTGTTATTGGCAGGGAAAATGGAGTTACTGCAAATCTTTTCCACTGAAGGAAGCAATATTATAGATTATGGACTTGTATTTTAGCCGGAAGCAACAGTATGTGATTAAAAATCTCTTAATAGTAGATTTGTTTCTTACAAACATGCAGCTTGCTTCACAATGCATTAACTGATGGACTGGAGTGGTGTGGATTATTGTGATGTTTTTATCAGCTGTTTGGACTCTCATTCTGACGGCACCCATTCACTGCAGAGGATCCATTGCTGAGCAAGAGATGGAATGCTACATTTCTCTCTGTGTTTTTATACATTCATTTGCAGGTTAAACCAGGAGCTGCTGGTGGAGAACAACACCACTCTTTGCAACCGCACAGTTCCTGCAACCCATCTTGTAGGAGACTCATCGTCCTCGGTGGAGTTTTTCGTTGCTGTGGCCGTCTTGGCTTTCCTCTATTCAATGGTGGCTCTGCTGGTCTATCTGGGCTACATGCATGTGTACCGAGACTCTGACTTCGGCCCTATGTTTGTGAGTATGCAACTGGCAGATATGCATTTGTATATCACAACGCAGATGCTTTTAAAGGAAAAATTCTGTGTATGTTTATAATTTTCTGCCTCTATCTGCTAGGATTTTGCGCTGACAGCAGTCTTTGCGTTCCTGTGGCTGGTGTGCTCGTCTGCCTGGGCTCGAGGTCTGCAGACGGTGAAGGACGCCACCGGTACGGCTGGCATTGAATCCACTCTGGCGCTCTGTACGGACAAAGATGTCAAATGTGAAGTCACTGAGTACGCCAGCCTGCGCTCGCTCAATATATCTGTGGTAAAAAATTACACTAACCAATCAGCTGTACTCTTTCACTATTTATTATCATGCTGATTACCTTTTTTTTTTTTTTACCACAAAAAGGGTACTTACCCCTAACATTGAGATGCAATCTTATTAAACTGCATTTGCAATGCATTTGACTTCCTTATTGTGGCATGTCTAATTAAAATTGGCATATGTAGCACGGGACTTTATTCACTGACATTTGATGCTTTGTAAGTATGTACATTGGCGGCCAAAGGTTTGGAATAATTAAGATTTTTAAATGTTTTTGAAAAATGTCCTCCTGCTCAACAAGGCTGCATTTATTTGATCAAAAATACAGTAAAATTATGAAATATTATTACAATTTAAAGTACCTGTTTTCAATTTGAATATGCTTTAAAATGTAATTTATTCCTGTGATGCGCAGCTGAATTTTCAGCATCATTACTCCAGTCTTCAGTGTCACATGATCCTTCAGAAATCATTCTAATATGCTGATTTTGCTGCTCAAGAAGCATTACTGAATATCATCAATGTTGAAAAGAGTTGTGCTGCTTCATATTTTTATGGAAATTGAGATACACTATCAATCAAACGTTTGGGGTAAGTATGATTTTTTTTAAAAAGTAAATGAATACTTTTATTCAGTAAGGACGCATTAAATTGACCAAAAGTGACAGTAAAGATATTTGTAATGTTAATTTTCACTGTATTGTGAACTTTCTATTCTATTCATCAAAGAATCCTGAAAACAAAAATCACAGTTTCCACAAAATTGATAATAATAATCATGTTTCTTGAGCAGCAAATCAGCATATCAGAATGATTTCTGAAGGATCATGTGACACTGAAGACTGGAGTAATGATGCTGA